TCCTGGTGGCAGTGCTGGGGAAGCTTTGAATGCTAACCTCTGGGTCAGCAGTTCACACCTACTAGCTGCTACATGAGAAAGACATGAGCCTCTACTCCCATTAAGATCGACATCCTTGGAACCCTACACAGGGTCACTGTGACTTGAAATTGATTCTGTGGCGTGGTTGGGGGTTTTTGGTATGAGTTCTCATTGAGCTCTAAAAGAGTCCATGGAAAATATCCATTCTCTTTTCATTCCTTTTGTCCACATGCTTTTTGAAGCCTCTTTGTAAATTATACATGTGTACTTGTTTTATCAGATTGTGATTACAGTTTCCTGCTTTTAAAATTACATTTTGTTCTAATTTTCAGCTTCTTCATACATGATTTTTGTTTTTTACAGGAGTTCAGTTACTTGCTCTTTTGGTTCCAACATTGATCTCATACCTGCTGGATGAAAATTCTTTTGCCTCAGCAAGTGCGGCTTCCAAAGATCTCCATGAGTTTGCCCTCCAGAACTTAATGCATATTGGGCCTCTGTATCCACACGCTTTCAAGACAGTGATGGGAGCTGCTCCCGAGTTGAAAGTACGCCTGGAAACTGCGGTTCGAGCAAGCCAAGCCAGCAAGGCAAAAGCCGCTGCCCGGCAGCCAGTCCCTGCCACACACTCTGCTCCCACCATTAAGCTGAAAACAAGTTTTTTTTAATGTTCTCTCCCATTCAGTTTCTTTTCATTGTTAGCTAGTAGCTAGTTAGTGATAGCCACTGTAGCAGTCCTTGCTTTGGATCTATTTTTTTGATATTTTGCTGATACAATGCTAAGTGAAATAATGCTCAGACACTACTAACTGATTTTGAAGAGTAATGATTTGTTTTCATTTTTCTTCTAATGAGGTTTCTCTTTTATTCATTAATTTATTTGGTAGGCATTGAGCCATAGGAAAATATAATCATATCATTGAACAATGTGCTGATATTGTCAGGAAAACATAGGTCAAAATTCAACAACTGTCAGGCAAATTTTTTCTTTGGAAAACAAGCAGAAGGTAAATTTAGAAGTTACCAAGAGAACAACAAGTGTCTGTTTTGTGTTGTATATAATATGAAAGAAGTCACGACATTTTCTTAAATGTGCATACCTTTCTGATGGATCTTTTTACTGTCATATTAAATTGATAAATTATTCTGGTGTACAGTTTAGTTGTTAATTGAGTTGAAACTCTCATTTAAAGTTCCATTAAAGTGTTTCAAAGTGTTTCAAAATGTGGCATAATGTTCTACTTTTTTTCAGTAGCCAAAATTCGGCCTCAGTTATGCTTTATAATTATAGAGCCCTAAGTTCTGGTTATAATAATTTAGTTCATCAAGTATTTATTGAGTGCAATTGTGTATAAGGTATTCAAGCTAATTGCAACACATATACAAATGAATCAGACTTACCTGTAGTTGTTCATATTGGTCCCTAGGAGTTGGAATCGACTCAATGGCAGGGAAATGTGCTTGTTTGTTTTTCCTTCTATATATAAATATATATACATATTGTTGTGCTGCTAAAAACCCTGGTAGGGTATCAGGTGGGCACAAGGTGTGGAGTTCAAACCTATTCATATAAAACCTATTAATATAAAAATTTACAACATGGGTGTAATGACCCAACGGTCTCTAGGAGTCAATTGACTTCGCAGGAATGGTCTTGGTTTTCTGGTTTTTGTTCTTAATAGTCTGCAGTGAGATTGTCACCATCTCGAATGACAATTGATTATTTGGCAAATAATGACAAATGAACAATTGCGACATTGCTTAGCAAATTTTAAATAATATTTTTGTCACAAATATTAGTTTATATTGTGAAAAACATGTCACTTTTCTGCCCAAGGGTATAATTATTTTACCATCTAGTTTATTATTTAGCATTCTTGAGATATTATACATATAACTAGAGAAACTGGATTATATGAAAAGAATTTGGCATTAGGATTGGAGGAAGGCTTATTAACAACCTCTGATAAACAGATGACACAGACTTGCTTGCTGAAAGTAATGAGGACCTGAAACATTTGCTGAGGAAGATCAAGGATTGCAGCCTTCAGTATGGATGATAAGTCTATGGAAAGAAGATCAAAATCCTCACAACTGGAGCAATAGGTAACATGATAAATGGAGAAAAGATTGAAGAAATCTAGGATTTTCTCTTCCTTGGATCCACAATCCGTGCTCATGGAAGCAGCAGCCAGGTGATCAAAGGATACACAGCAGTGGGCAAATCTGCTACACAAGACCTCTTTCAAGTGTTAAAAATCAAGGATGTTACTTTGAGGAATAAGGTATGCCTGACCAATCCATAATATTCTCACTCTCCCCACATGCATGTGAAAGCTGGACGTTGAATGAGGAAGACTGAAGGCGAATCAGTGCATTAGAATTATGGTCCTGGCAACAAATATCGAAAGTACCAGGGACTTCCAAGAGAACAAACCCATCTGTCTTGGAAGTAACACAGCCGGAGAGCTCCTTAGAGACACGGCTGGTGAGGCTCGGTCTTACATGCTTTGGACATGTTGTCAGGAGAGACCAGTCCCTGGAGAAGGACATCATGCTTGGCAAAGTAGGAGGAGGAGTAAAACAGAGGAAGACCTTCAAAGAGATGGATTGACGCAGTGGCTACCACAATGAGCTTAAACAAGAATAATTATGAAGGTGGCACAGGACTGGACATGTTTTGTTCTGTTGTACATAGGGTCACTTTGAGTGGGAGATGACTCGATGGCACCTACCAACCACAGCATCAGGCTCGAGGTGTCTCCTGATTCACATGGTTGCAGACCGACACACCCCAAACCTGCAGATCAGACAGCAGAAGACTAGCTCATATTCCAAGAGCTGTAGGCCAGAGGAGGATGAGTTGGATGTAGCATCGAGTGAGCGTTGCCAATTGATTCATATGTATTGGATACAGGCCACACTCCCCAAGGAATCTCCCTGTTCGACGGATTGGCTGTTCATATCAGAGAAATTGGAAGGTGATTATATACGATCTGTCAAACCACTGAGATTGATGGCCGAGCCAGTAGCTAAGACATAACTTTAGCCATTACAATATAAAATGAAAGCACATGATTTAATTGAAGCAATTAAAATATCGCAGCTTATTAATATCAATTTGAGTTGCTATTTTATAACTGTCATGTGCCGGTCACTGTAATAGACACTTTATTCATTATTTCCCCTCACTAATACAACACAGAATGGTTAGTGTAAGTTTGAAGAAGTGTAACTCTATGAACTATGACGCCTCACATACTGCTCTTTCTTCATTGGAATGGACTCTCGGTACCATTTCTGATGCCAGAAACGACGGGAGCACAACTATGCATAAAGCTTGAATGCTTTCTATGAAATGGATTATTTTGAAAACCTGATCTAGTTATTGCAAGCTCATTTCTACCTCTCACAGCTAATAAAAGCTTACGAAATGATCGTTTATGAATATCATAGAATTCACTCAAGTCAGAATGTCACATCCATCATAATTTAGAAAAATTACCCTGAACTCCCCTTTTGGTACCGTCGCTAAGGGAAGAACAGGAAAGTCATGCTTGCACAAATGCATGTTTTTTCCAGAGAAATTTATTCACAGCCTTTATCCCTTATCTGTAATTCTCTGCTGCTTTTTCCGTTTGAACTCATGTATTTCCATTTTGGGCACTGCTTTTCTCACCAAAAAAATATTATTCTCTGCTATGTTAGTCAAAGAATTCATGGACATTTAAGTGGACAAATTTGGCCTTGGCAGCTTCTTATCAATCCTTTTGAAGTTACATAGGAAAAAATCTCTCTCCTTGTTTAATTTGTAAAACAAAAATGTGTAAAAGTACAATCAGAGGAAATAGGAAAGTCAATTTTATATCTTGTAATAAATTCATAAAATTTAATTATCAAGTGTGCATTGATTAAAATTATCGTAAGCTACCGTCCTGACTAAACTGCTGCTAATACCAGTCTCTCCTCTGTGGTTGTGATCATCCTACAGTAGGATGTTGAATCCTGCTTTTCCTCTTAATTCATAAGCATTTTCCATATTACTATTGATAATAACATGGATGCACTTACTAACCATTTTTTATTGTGAGTGTAATGGTGAGTGTACTATTAGGGATATAGTCATTACCCTATATTTTTATTATTTCAAATTTTTATTAAAAATGGTACATTTTACTTTTTAAAAATGAAGCTTTGTAGATAGTTTGCTTAGGATTAATTCCCTAGTGGGGTTATAAAAGGACAGGCTTACCAGGGGGATGGACAACAGAGAAGTGGGTAAAGAGAGACACTGGTCAGAGTAAGATATGAAAAAATAATAATTTATAAATTATCAAAGGTTCATGAGGGAGGGAGGGGGAAAATGAGGAACTGATAGCAAGGGCTCAAGTAGAAAGAAAATGTTTTGAAAATGATGATGGCAACAAAGATACAAACGTGCTTGACATGATGGATGTATGGATTGTGATAAGAGTTGTATGATCCCCCAATAAAATAATTATTTTTTTAAAAAGTACACACTTGAACTTTGATACAAATTGCTGAATTTTAGAAGGTGTTAATATCTGAAGTAAAAGCATGAAAAGGAAACTGGGTCTTTTCTCTATGCCAAGTAAATGCCTAGGAATGCCCTTAAATTTCTACAAATATTTTTATATTCTAAAACTTTAAAATAATGGTGTTTCAGATGAATCTAGATCATTATGATGGGAAGTTTAATGCAGTTTGAGCTGTTATTAATAAAAATACACTTTCTAAAACAAGGAAGATGATAATCCTCTTCTCTACATGTTGTGGGACTCCAGTGTGTGTGGGTGAGGGAAGAAGAGAGCTGGGTCTGAGCATCAGCTTCAGGTAAGATAAAGCAAGGTCCCTGACAAATCAGAGGGCTTGTACAACCAGGTGATAGAAAAGTACCAAGTCAAAAGGGACTCCCGTTCTCAGGTTTGTATAGAATTCTGAGGGTCCTAAAGAGGGGAAGCAGTTGTGATAAGAATAAAGTAGTTGGGCTGACTTCTTGATTTCAAAGTAAAGCTGCCATGGTCAAAACAGTGTCGTGTTGCTATAGGAGTAGACATGGAGACCAGTGGAATAAGACTCAGATTAAAAAATCGGGAATGTATAGTGGGGATGGTTTCACAGCACGGAGACTAAATAATGCACTGAATTGCATTAAGATTGGTTAGAATAGTAATACCTATTTTACCGTACTATTAATAAGCACAAAGCAAGATGGGGTAGGGATGGTGGATATTTTCTCTAGCTGTGGAATCAGATAGACCTGCACCAATAGGTAAGGGTTACAAATAAGTTCCTCAAACATTAAAGAGGAGTCCTTAAGAGAGTCGTGAAAAAATGGTAGTGCCCCATAAGAATGCATTTCTTATTAGGAAATGTGGTGAAGAAAGCTGATGGAACCTGGCTATCAAAAAATATAGCGTCTGGGGTCTTAAAGGCTTGAAGGTAAACAAGTGGCCATCGAGCTCAGAAGCAACAAAGCCCACATGGAAGAAGCACACCAGCCTGTATGATCACAAGGTGTCGAAGGGATCATGTATCAGGCATCAAAGAACAAAAAATAATATCATTGTGGATGAGGGGTAGTGTGGAGTGGGGATCCAAGACCCATCTGTAGGCATCTGGACATCCCCTTACAGAAAGATCATGGGGAGGAGAAGAGCAAGTCAGAGTGCAGTGTAGCAATGATGAAACATAAAACTTTCCTCTAGTTCCTAAATGCTTTCCTATCACCCTCCACCCCCTATCATGATCCCAATTCTACTTTATAAATCCGGCTAGACCAGAGGATGTACACTGGTACAGATAGGAACTGGAAACACAGGGACTCCAGGACGGATGGAGCCCTCAGGACCAGTGATGAGAGGTGATACCGGGAGAGTGGCGGGAAAGTGAGGTAGGAAGGGGAACTGATTACAAGGATCTACATATAACCAACCCCTTCCCTGGGGGATGGACAACCGAAAAGTGGGTGAAGGGAGATATCAAACAGTGTAAGACATGACAAAATAATTTATAAATTATCAAGGGTTCATGGAGGAGGGGAAAAATAAGGAGTTGATATCCAAGGGCTCAAGTAGAAAGCAAATGTTTGGAGAATGATGATGGCAACAAATATACAAACATGCTTGACACGATGGATGTATGGATTGTGATATGAGTTGTACGAGCCCCCAATAAAATGATTTTAAAAAACCAACACTTTT